GGAAAGAAAAAACGCTACTGCACAAACCACACTAGCTTCTTGGCCAATCTCTGCTGCAAATATGACAATGATAAATATTCTGATGTATATAATCAGTAATATTCTTGTTTAAATCGTGTCTCTAGATCCGCAGATGCACTAGTACGTAGCAAACCTAGATTTGTAAACAGTTCTGTGTTGTCAAGTTCAGGCTGTTCCCTTCTTGGAGGCCTGGAATCTTCCTCTTCAAAGACACTTAAGGTCAATGTCCAAAGAAACCTTCCAGTATGGCACAAAAGCTTTTACAAACTACCGAAGAACTAAAAAAAAAAAAAGAAAGAAAGAGTATGCATTTGATAAAACGAAATCTACAACTGTCTTATATGGCTGTTTTATCGTACATCAAGTGATAAGGTCAGTGATCATATCACACTTGATTTATGTTAATTGATTACAATATATATATAAATATTTCGATCTTCTTTCTTCCTTGGTTATTTATATATATTTTTGTATCATGTTGGCATCCTTATATAGCGTTCGTTCTAGTTTTAGTTCAACATTTGTTTGTTTGTTTTTGTTGTTTTTGTCATTGTACATTACACTTGATTTGTGTGAATTAATTACAATATAAATCTGTGTTCATGTTGTACATCGTGAGGCTTGTCTTTCTTGTAACATACGACCTCTCTTATCTGGTCTTACCAACAAAGTCCTGTAATCTTGTTGTTATTTCCGGATTCTAGCTACGTATTCAGCATTACTTATTTAATCAAAAGACCACATATAAAAATTACCTGGTTCGAGCGATCTAAAGCATTATTGAAACAGATACAAATGCAAACAAACTGCATTTGCTTTTCAATTATATCATAAAAGAACACTTGAACAATCATATCACAAGTGAACAGTGCGATCAGTCATATCACACACAAGTGGATAGTGTGATCAATCATATCACACACAAGAGAACACTTGACCAATCATATCACAAGTGAATAGTGTGATCAATCATATCACACACAAGTGAATACTGTGAAGAATCATATCACACACAAATGAATACTGTGATCAATCATATCACACACAAGTGGACAGTGTGATCAATCATATCACACACAAGAGAACACTTGACCAATCATATCACAAGTGGACAGTGTGATCAATCATATCACACACAAGTGAACACTTGACCAATC